GGACAGGGACCCCCATTCTTCTCCCCACAGGCCTGTACCAAGCAAGGTGGCAAAGCAAGGAATGGCCGCCACCTCCAAGTCCCACCAGGCTGATTCTCCTGCACCTCCTCCTGAGGACTCTCCTCCACCAAGAAGACCCAATACAACAGCCACCTTGCCCAATACACAGAGAGGAGGGGACAGTCCAGGAGATGTGAGTGCCAGGAAGGGGTTGACCAGATTACCCTGAGCCTTTCAAACTAGGATCACACCAGCCAGATCCCTGACTGCAGCCCTCCCTCCCTCTCTAACTCCAGTTCAGAAACTCCGCCTTGTAGTCAGAATGGGGTGGGTTCTGTAGCAGGAGTGTAAGTCTGCATAGAGATAATAACCTGAACTCTCCGTGGCTTCACACATCACAGGTTACTTTCTCATGCTCACAAAGTCCAAAGCAATGCAGGAGATTTTCCAGGATAATTTCTTCTCTTCTCTTCTTTTCTTTTCTTTTCGATAGGGTCTCACTCTGTTACCAGCCTGAGTGCTGTGGTGCAATCACATCTCACTGCAGCCTCGACCTCCTGGACTCAGTGATCCTCCTGCCTCAGCCTCCCAAATAGCTGGGACTGATGCCCACCTGATTCTGTAACCAAGATGCTTTTCTTCCATGCAACACCTCAGCAAACCAAGCTGCTCCTCTCTGTGCCATGTCAACATGGGGCTTTAGGGACAGAGAGAACTAAAGAGACATGAACCGGCTTTTAAATACCTTCACCCAGGCACTTCCACTCCCAGCCACAGGCCAGAATGAGGCTCATGATCCTGTGTAGGCAGGAGGGAGCTGGGGCATGTGGGGAGTGTGTGGAGAGCCAGTGATCAGTAGAAATCTCTGTCATCTGCCTGTTGGACGTTGCCAGCTCTAGTCCACTCTGCCACCTCCCATGGGATTTCTACCTCCCAACGCACCTGCTGAGGACTGACCTGACTTAGACCGGGCACTGTGCTCAGCACCGAGTCTCCTATAATGACCAGGACAGACAGGGTCCTATCCCATTCCATAAGGGGCTCGTATCAGAGAAGGGAGGGGATTGAACAGACTCTCCTCAAAGTTTCCCAGGCCCCATTTCTGTGTCCCTTTTGTGTGGGCATCACCATCCTTACTGACTCGCAGACTAAACTTAGTCAGCTCTCAACCCTGGAATGAGCCTCAGTTTTCTCATCTGAACAATGAGGATAATAAGAGACTTAACAGAGGTCATCTGATGATCATGAGAAAGCGAGTCTCTGATTGATGCAACCTCACAGCCACTAGGCACTGGGGCCAGGATTCAGACTCCATCATCTGATCTCACTGCTCCAGTCTCTTCTGTGGCCCTTCCTCTTCCTCCTTAGCTGGGTGGGCCCTGCAGAGTTTGCCTCAAACATTGAAACTTTTGCTAAGAAGGAGAGGATCTGAGAGCCCAACTTCCCAGCCACAGCCAAAGTGAGTCGGGCCTGGCCTTAAACCAACTTGGTCCCCTGAAGACTGCCTGGAAGGCATCCCTGGAACCGGTCCTGCCTCACTCAGGTCATTCCATGAGGGTCACAGCAGCTGTCCTGCAATCCAGGACCCAGACAAGGCCAGCTCCTAGCCCCTCACTCCCACCACCCTTTCTCCACATATAGATGTGGCCAAAAACCTTACTACAGGACTGGTAAGGCCACCGCGGCCACCATTAGAAACCTGATCCCGAGTCGCTGATTAAAACCAGGAGGGGGTTTTAATCAGCCAGGGCCATGTGCTATTTAACGGAAGATGAAAGCACGAGTGATAAGCATCATCTCAGAAAGGATATCATTAAAGGAAGAGCAGAACAGCAAGAGGCAGCTTTTATCATTACAGCAGCCCCTTGCAAAGCTCTCGTGAGGGGCTTTGGGGAACATCTGGGCTCGGTCTATTATGCCACACTTACGACGTCATTGTGTTTGACAACGGCTCCAGAGCCCATGCCACACCAAACTTCTAAATATACAATTAATGTCTATTAATTATAGTTTTCAAATCAGCAAAATGAGCCTTCATTAACTTAATCGCCTCTTCTGTTTTATCAGGAAATTGTACTCTCTGTGTTCAGAATCCCTGCATCTGACCCCCCCTTTGATGGCCAGCATGTGATGCTTGGCTGTTTAACGGAAGACCTGCCTGTCCTCCCCTCATCTAGGCACCCCCCTACTCCACTCTCAGCCATGATATGGGAAGCCACTGAGGACCTCTGAAGTATTCTAAAGGGTTTGGGAGCAGGCATGTGTTCCGGGAGATGGTGATGGAAGTGAGGTGGCGGCAGCTGCCATCACTGTACCTGGTCAAGCTGGAGCCCAGCCCACGTGGAAGTGGATCTGAACCAGTATGTGTTGGGGACATGAGGTGGAGAGGAAACTGGCCACTGCCTCCTGCATCCCTTTGGACCTTAGGCAGCCTTCCTTCTCGCTGCCAGCAGCCTTGGGGATCGCCTCCCTGCTCACAACAGCCAGCGGCTTACAGTATAATTAACCCCATTGCAGACATGGGAAAACTGAGACAGAGGGGAAATGGTTTCTTCAGGACTGCAGAGCAAATTGTCAGCCAAGCTAAGCCTTCAATTCAGCTTATCTAATGCTCAAAATAGGGCCTCACCCTGAGTTTGCATATATAATGGAGGGCACCGTTCAGTGGACTTTTATCCTCTTCTCTCCCCTGAGCATGAAGGGTGCTCCCCTACCCCATGGCTTTGGGGCTTGGCCATGTGACTTGCTTTGGCCAATGGGATGGGAGTGAATGCCATGAGCTTAACAGTGTAACTTGCTTTCACCAGTGGGAGGGGAGTGAATGCCATGAGCTTGGCCGTGTGACTGGCTTTGGCCAGTGGGATGGGAGTGGATATGATGAACCTGGCCATCTGACTTAGTTTGGCCAATAGGATGGGGCTTGATATGATGAGCCTGGCCATGTGACTTGTTTTGACCAATGAAATGGGAGCATATGTAATGGACTTGGCCAGGTGACTTCCTTTGGCCAATGGAACAGGAGTGGGTACAATGTCCATCATAGCCCCTTCTTCTTGGGTAATCAGGAGATGTGCAGGGAAGAGAGGTGGGGAGGGAGAGCGAGCAAGCCAGACAGTCTTTGGGCCTAACTGGGTCAAATGCCTTAGATAACTTACACAACTTCCCAGCTTTACCATCCTCCTGGGTAAAATGGACCTGATAGAAAGCTTGCCTCCTAAGGTTGCTGTGAGGAAGAAATGGGCAGTGCTTTGCCTGGAGGGCTGGAGGTGGCTGCCTGGATGGATTCTTGCACCATGGCATCTCAGAGGGCCCAGAGCATGGAAGTGGCTAAACCCCAACCCCAGCTCCATGGGTCGTCAAGCCGTGGACTGTTCAAACCCTATTAGAGCCTTCTGTAAATGCAGATCGTCTCTACAGTTCTCTCCCCTTGGCTCCAACTTTGTTTTCACTTCACCTCATCTCATTTATGCCTTAAAGAAGTTTACAGCTAAGTGGGGACAGCAGACAGGCAACTGCGATATGGGGCCTATGCCAGAGGCCCAGGAGGGGCATCTACCCAAGGCTTGGGGGTCTGGGAGGGCTTCCTGGAGGAGTGGGGCCTTGAAGGAGGAAGGGAGCAGATGTTATTAGAGACCCATGGCCACCTGTCATGTCAGCTGCAGCTGCTGGGGCCAATCTAGCAAGCACAGACTCAGAATTGTACCTGGCCTTCCTGCCCATTCCCAGGACCTTCTCCAATCCCACAGGATGGGAAGGGGCATCAACATCCCCAGAGGCACCCCCAAGACACAGGCTGGGGCCAGTGAACACATGCTTCAGCCTTTCACTCTGTAGCCGGACACTCCGTCTGTCCTCATCCTAGAGGGCCACAGTCTCTAATGGTGACCTCAGTAAGGCACCCTCATGTCACCTGCCATCTTGTCCCCCTGCCCCTTCACTCCTCTCCTGAGCTACGCCCTGCCAGAACCCTGCCCCCAAGTCCTTGTCTTGGGCCACGCCTTGGGGAACCCAGGCTCAGACCAGGAACAGCTGGGTGAGAGGTAAGGAGACACATTGCAGGGAAAAGGAGCAGCATATTCTGGGCTGGAAAGGAAAGGAAAGTCCTCCATTGTTTAAGGATTGTTGGGAAGCACAGGGCAGTGGGGCAGAGGTGAAAGGGACGAAGTCATGTAGGAGACAGGAGACAGGGAGCTAGTACCTCCCGAGGGCCTGGTCTGCTGGGCTGGGAGCTGAGCGCTTGTCCTCAGGGCAGTGAGATGGGTTGCAGTAGGAAGTGGCATGGTGAGATAGGCGGTTTTTTGTTTGTATTTTTGTTTTTTAACAGAGTCTTGCCCTGTCTCCCAGTCTGGAGTGCAGTGAAGTGATCTCTGTTCACTGCAACCTCCACCTCCCGGTTCAAGCGATTCTTCTATCTCAGCCTCCCAAGTAGCTGGGACTACAGGGATATTGAACCATGCCTGGCCATTTTGTCTATTTTAGTAGAGACAGGGTTTCCTCATGTTGCCCAGGCTGGTCTCGAACTCCTGTCCTCAAGTGATCCTCCCACCTTGGCCTCCTAAAGTGCTAGGATTACAGGCATGAGGCGCCATGCGTGGCTCAGATTGGAGTTTTTAAAAGTGCTTTTCGTGTGCAGTGTGGGGACTGATGGGAGACAGCATGGCCAGTGGAGGAACTGTCCCCAGGCTGGGGGAGAACAGATGGGACTCTCTGCTAGGGTATGGAGGGGATGTGTAGAGTGGAAAAGTCTCAGTAACTGGAGTGACAAGGGAAAGAGGAGTCGGGGTGGCACCCAAGCTTCTGGTCTGGGCTACTTGGTGGATTGTCTGTCCCTCTGCTGAGCTAGGGGCAGGTTTTGCAGAAAGAGGATGAGTTTGTCTGGAGGCAGGTAGTTGGGACTCCTTGGCAGCAACCTAGAGACAGCCGTGGCATGGACGAGATCCAGGAAGTGAGTCCATGGAGAAGGCCAGGCAGCCAGCACTGAGATCTGAGCAACACCGCCATTTTAAATTATTTTTATTTTGAAATAATTATAGATTGTCAGGAAGTTGCAAACAAAGCCCAGTCAGGTCCCATGTCCCAGTTTTATTGCCACCATCTTTAAAGGAGGATCGGACAAATCTGACTGCTCAAAGTGGCCCCAGGGCTTCTATAGAAAATCCAACAGTTTTGATCTCAAGAAAGCGATTTCACTTAGAATTCAGGTTTGGCTGTAAGTGAAAGCGATTGAGGGACGTGAGAAGTTGATTGCTTCCTCATATGATAGTCTAAATGTAGGTGTCCAAGCCTGGAATAGAGGTCCTGGTAAGTTCTCAGGAACACAGGCTTCTTTCAGCCATTCCACCATTTCTAGGGGGTTGTCCTCATGGTCCAAAATGGTGGCTGGAATTCCAGCCATCACATCTGCTTTCCAGGGAGCAAAATAGAAGAAGGGACACAGAAGAACAGAGATGACAATAGGTATAAACAACCTCTCTTTTAAAAGAATGTTCCCAGGAGCTGCTACATGACACTATTGACTAGAGTTTAGTCACAATATTTATTTGCAAAAGAGTCTCAGAACTGTAGTCTTTATTCCTGGACTCAAAATCAAAGGCTCTATTACAAGGAAGAAAGAGTGTATCCAGGGCTGCAACTAGTTTCCTGTGCACAGAATCCAAGGGCACAGGGTGTTCTGAAAGGGAGGACATGTCAGTACCACTAAAACAGTCAGGAAGTCAAGAAAAGTAGCAATGAAATGCCCAGCGGATTTAGGGACAAGAAAGTCCAGTGGCAACTTTTTTAGGATAATGGCAATTGTCCATCTGACCCCAGAGCCCTTGATTCTGAGTGCGCAATGTTCTCCAGGGTCACCTTTTGTCCAGTGGATGGGGCAGAAAGACAGAGGTGTTGGAGATGAGGGTTTTAGACCGAGAGTGCAAATCCAGGCCACAGGCAGCTCTACAGCAGCAGGAAGTGGGAATGAGGGAATGAAAGGGACTCCAGGAAGAACCAAGTGGGACTGATGGTGAGAAGGACGGGAATGAGGACAGAAGATGGCCAAGTGTGTGGCTTCTGTGCTGCGGCATTTCTGGGTTCATAGCGGGCCCAGGAGTGAGTGGCTATGGAAGAGAGAAAAGGGAGGCCTTTGTGATGGTGAGGGCCATAACATTGAGAGACTGGGGTTCAAGCACCTGTGGAAATCACCCAGGATGCGGGCAGAGTATCAGATAGAGGCAGTCGCTGAGCCTCTGTGGAGTCTTCCTAGTTACCTCAACACCACTCCCAACTCTGCTGCCAAAAGAGCCCGTTTAATGTTCTCGTGGTTGACACCTGCCTCAAGCCTTGAATGGCTCCCCATGGATTTGCAGGAAAATGTCCAAACCCCTCTCCTTTTCCTCTGAGGCCCTTCTATGATCACGTGGCATGGGTTAGGATGCTTTCGACTCTCAGCAACAGAAACCCCAAGTAACAGACACTGCCTGTGCCTGGCTTGGATCCCCTGTAGGAATCATTTGTGTTTGCGGGTCCAATTTCCAACTGCCAGTACCTGCAGTTCCGCTGAAGCCTATGCCTGTGCACTGAAATAGCCCTTGACCGATGACTGACAAGGATGAGTGGAGAGATACCTCGGCTCCCTTCCTGTGCAGGTGGGATAACTCTGAGGTGTGTTCCACGTGGGCTTCTGGAGTTCCTCAGGATTAAGCTCCAGGTGCCCACATTTACTTCCCTTCCCTTCCCACCTCACTTCCCTACTCTCCTCCCAGTCTTTCCCAGGACCACCTCAAAACCAACAACTTGCTCCTGAGTCTTCATCTCGGGATCTCCTCCTGAGAAAAACCAAACATCTAAAGTGCAGACACTGGGTGGCTGCCAGGTGGTGTATGAATGCTTATACAACAACATCCCTGAGGACCCAGGGCTCTCTTTTTCTGTGCTCTGTAGTCCTCAGGCTGTAGCAAGATAGCTGCCACCAAGACATGTTACAAGTTCCTCCACAGACTTCCCTTCAGATCTAATTGGCCAGAATAGGATCCCATGATCTTTCCTGAACCAATCACTGACAAAGGTGAGGGCTTTGCCATGTCTGACTTAGATGAATCATCTGTGGGCAGAAAGGATGACGGGATCGACTACAGGGACCACAACACCATCCTGTCACCCATTCTAGTATGACTCTGCCACTGTAGATATGTAACGTAGTGAAAAGAAACAGCTGGTTGATGCTGCATGCCAACCAGCTCTGTGTTCTCACTATTTCACTTTCATTTATTCATTCATTCAACAAGCATGCACTGAATGTTTACTGTGTTCCTGATAGTTCCTGGGGTTAGGGATGTGGGAGACAAGACAAGCACAGAGGGCTGAGTGTGGTGGGATCTGGGTGGCAGAGGCACGACACTGGGGATATACTGATCCAACTGTTTTGCCATCTGAAATGTCCCACCCCACTGACCTTCCTCAGGATCATACCTGTCCCCTAAATCGCCTCTCCTCCAGGAGGCCTTTCCTGATTTCCCCAAACCAGGGGGTTCCATCCTGCCTCAGAGCCCCCTTGGATGTTCCAGGGTGTTCTTCTGGGCTGACACTGCCTTGGCTGGCTCTGAAGTGTCCTTGCATGCCCGTTACAAGTGACAGTGTTCTTCTTGTCTTCCCCATTAAGGCTCGTAGAGGGAGGGTGATGTGCCCCAGGGCCTGAGTCACAGCCAGGCAGCTCAACCCTGCAGGGCTGACCCACAGCCAGCCGGGGAGGCTGCCGCACCCAGCCCCAGTCCCTGCCTCCCAGCACCTGCCTTGAGGCTGCCTCCGCCCCTCCCCATGTCTCTCCCATCAATTTCTTATTTCATAAAAATCAATTTCTGTCCCGTTTTCGCCGTGTACATAAAAGACTGTGGCATCAATTAGCCTTCGTTCTCTCTCTCCCCCATCTCTTTTTCTTCCTCATCTTTTTTGGAAACCTCTTTGTAGGGAAAATCTCATATTTCAGCAATTTGCATTATCCACACACTCAGCTTTGAAGTTCTAAGTTATGGTAAGAAAAGGACCCACTTATCTGCCCATAAAAAATGTTCAAAGCTTATAAATTCCCTGAAACAGATGTACATTATCATTGGATTTGCCTTTCTTTTTGCTAGAGCATGCCTAATAGAGTTTCAGCCGCCCCCTGGCCCCCTTCTCCCGCCCCCGTTAGCATCTTGTCTCCACAGAAGCCCGCTCCCCACTGGGCCAGACTGACTTCAAAGTTCCCAGGCTGTCTGTTAGAAGCAAAGCACAAAGTGGGAACATAGGGGCCTTTTAAATCCCCCACGTTTAAGTCAATATCGTGCCTCCCTCCTTTCCCCTCTCCTGGCAGAGGGACATAAGTCAGCCCTTCCCTTTCTGCCTTCTTGAGCGCCAATTCAGCAACTACCAGAGAGAGGAAATCGGGCCTCTTTTTCTCCCAGTCTCTCTTTGCCCTCTCTTTCTTGCCAACTTTCCTTTTTGTTCTTTCCCTCGCATAAGAATATGTTCAGCAGCATGGAAGGTAGGGCTGATCCCACGGGTAAGCAAGCAGGCGCATCCTTAGCGCTTTCACGGGTAAGATCATAAACAACAGGCATCCATCAGTCACTGTAGGATCCTACCATGACAGCCCCTCTCCGGGCTACTGTTTCCAATCCCTTCTACCTGTGGTGATGGCCAGTGTGTCACATCCTGTCTCCCCCAGCTGACCTTCTAGCTTCCTGATGTGTCTCTTGCGGTGATGAGTGGACTCCACCATTCAGGCCCCCAGGTTCTGCCCATCCTGGGCCTCCCTGTTGCTGGCTGCACCTGGCCATACTGGCCCACACCAGTTCATCAAGCAGCCCATCCTCCGTCCACCCTCAAGAGGTGCACCAGCTGCTACCTTTAACTTTCTATCTGGCTAATTCTTCCTCACCCTTGAGGTCACCACCTAAATGTGGCTTCCTGGAGAGTCCCTCTCCAGTTCCCATCATGTCCCCTTTGTTATTCCCTCCCATATCTCCCCAGAAGTCATCACAGTGGATAACAACATCGTTCCTGGGTGGAAGCTGTCCCCTCCACTACACGAAAGCTCCACAAAGGTGGGTGGAGAAGATGTCTGTTTCATCGAGTGCGGGGCATCCTTCCTGACCCATAGTACTTCATCACTAAAGCTTTGAAAGTATGGATGAACAGAACTGGAAATGAATGTGGCAAAGGCCAGCCAGGCTTGAGCAGGTCCTTTCTGGGCAGCAAGTGCCAAGTGTGGTCTCTCTTTGCTCTACCCATGTCTTGCCCAGAAGTTCAGTTTTGGCCGCTCCTTGCCACTGGGGGGTGGTCACACCACAGAGACTGACCTGCAGTCTAACTAAACTGCTTAGCAAGACAGAGTAAGATACTCCAATGCCAAATTCTTTCTCCCCAATGAAGAAATGAGGGAGGGAGGAGGGAAGAGAGGGAAAGGGGAAAGTTCACAAGAACCACACTGGAAATATTCTGGCTAGGAATTTCTGGGCCAAATCACAATCAGATGCTGCCTTTTGAGGACAGAGTCAGAGGAAATGGAATCAGGTGACAATGGCTAAGATGGCCAGGGGCCCGTTTGAAGGGCATCTGGCCAGGGGACTTCAACCACTCAGAGTCACCCTGGGCCCCTGTACCTAGATGTGCTGAGAGCCCACAGGCCAAGTCCAGTGACACCATCTGAATGTCCCCAGAAGATTCCAGGTTTCAGTCTGTCTGCATCCTGTCACGCTTCTCTGGTGGCAGCATCAACATTCAACAAGTCTTAGCATCAGGGCCCTGCAAGAGGGGTACCGCTTTCCCATCTGTCTTTATGAATCTGATCAACAAAGACACATGGAGTGTCAACAGCAGGCTATGGGCTAGGTCTAGCTGAGGGCGGGTAGGGAGGCCAGGAGTGTGTTGTTCTTCAGTCACTCAAGAGACACTGAACAAGCACTTGTCTTTGCTGGGCCTTTGGGATTACAAGACAATCTGATGAACAGGTGCTTGGGTGGAAACCAAATAATCAGAGGCAAAGATAAGTACATATGGTAGATCCTCACCTCCGTGCATTTGCAAAATCACCTACTCACTAAAATTTGTCTGTAACCTGAAATTAATACTCATGGTGCATTCATTTTGTTTGTGACATGCACAGAACAGCAAAAAGTGTGAGTGGCCTGACCACATGTTCTCAGCTGAGGTTGAACAAGGTGACGCTCTGCCTTCGCGGTTCCGTTCTCATCCTATAGCAAACATCCTTCTCACGGTCTACTTAGCATCATGCTTTGTGCATGTTTGTGCTTTGTGTTGGTGATCCGGCTGCTTAAAATGCTCCCCAGGCCTGGCATTGAAGTGCCGTCTTGTGCTCTTAAGCTCACGGAAGGCTCTGCTATGCCTTATAGAGAAAACACGTGTGCTAGATAAGCTTTGTTCAGTCATGAGTTATAGAGCTGTTGGCTGAGTTCAATGTTAGTGAATCGAGAATATATAGTAAATCAATCATCTTTCATGAAACGCACATGAAACAAGCCTTTGCACTGATTGGCAATGAAAAAGTTATGACCAGAAGCTTGCAGGAACCTAGCCCTGTATTTTCCCCTAGGAACAATAGTTCAGTATGTGCTAACTCAGTTTTGGAGGCAACTTTATAAGATGTAACTACTGTGATGGGTAAGAATCAACCACAGTTACAAACATGATCAATGCTCTGACTGAAGGAGACCACAGGGCACCCTGAGAGCTTGGGGTACCATCTTGCTGAAGTTGGGGTCTCAGCCACACCAGCAGCCCCACCTCCCAGAGCTCCCTTTGCCTCACATGTCCCTGGATTTGACTGGAGTGATGGCAGACAAAGGAGTAGAACTGGTCTTTGTCAACCTGTATCAATGCCAACAGGTTCCTGGAAAGGGAGGGTCACATGGCTTGCAGCTTCTCCACAGGGACAGGTGTCAGGCTTGTGTTTAACCCTACCATGCATTAGCCACAAGTTAAGTAGGTTACTTAATTAAACTATAATTCTGTTTCCTCATTGGTTTCCTCTCAATGGGGATTTGAGGACATTAGCAAATGTAGGCTGGGCGTGCAGTAGGCACCCTGTAAGAGGCAGATATGGCAATGTGGACTCCTCAGTGACCTTGGAGCTCAGGAGCTGGGTAAGGACAGTCTGAGATGCAGGGCAGCCAACTGCTCCAGAGGTCCCCCCTTTCCCCAAGGAAGGCACTGCTGTGCATGGCCTTCAGGCTGCCCATCCCCACCACTGCCCCTACTGTTTGTAGGACTCAGAGCTGCCACCCCCATGGTCTAGCTTCAAGCCAAGGGCAGTTTCATGATACAAATGTGGTGTTGAAGGCCAGAGACAGCAGGGGCTTGTCCAAGTTCACATCACAAGTCATGTCTAGAAGGAACAGAGTGACCCCATCAAACTTGAGAGGGAAAAGTCATATCCTTAAGTGTTTCTTGAGTGTGTAGCAGAGGTGGCATGCCATAGCAGCTGCCTCACAGGGGGCTTTGCAACAGGGGTAGGGGGCAAGTACCCTTCATCCGTCAGGACTGCACCTCCTGTTTTACTTATCAAGGGCCTATTACATGCCAGGCTCTGTGCTGGATGCCTTATGCCCACTGGATCATTTACTCATAACAGCTCAGAGAGATAGTTACCCCACTTAGCCCCATGTTAGAGAAAAGAAACAAGCCACAGAGAGGGTGAGTCACTTGTCTCAGGTCACACAGCTGGGAAGTAGTAGAACCAGGACTCAGCTCAGGTCCAAAGTCTCAACCATGGGCCAGTCTGTCCATCCTAGCTGAGCCCCCAAGCTGCATTTTGTGGTCCAGCTACTGGATCCTGCAACCTTCTCAAACTATCCACGAAGCCAAGTGCTTAGAATCTAGGACATCAGGTCCAGACAATTTGGGGCCACATCTTCCTGGACCTGCTGATGGGCAAGGACCAGACTCTAGCTTGAACAGTGAGATGCAGTGAGACTGCCAGAGAGGCAGGAGTCACAGACAGAGCCTGGCCTGAGTCTCCTACTGAGACTGCCCATGGGCACACCCAGGGAGTCCCCATCCCCTGCCCGATCAGCAGTCTTTCTGCTTCCCCCTCCAAGAGACCTGAGGGCATTCATCCAGGGATCCTGACATAAATAAACTCCTTCCCCATTTCTTGCTTTGCTTAAGTCTCCTAAGTCGCTGGAGCTGAAGCCAAGCAGGCCTCATTAGGTCCACTTTACAGAAAAGTAAACTGAGTCTCAAAGAGGGGAAGTCACTGAGCCAGGTACAACCCAGCCAGTCTTCTGAGTTGGGGCTTTCCACCTATCTTGGCAGTTTAAGGAGTGCTGGGCAGGGTCTCACACAGCCTGGGACCCTTTGCCAGGGGCTTCCAGCCCACCCCGCCCCACCTAAATGAGGAGTGGGGCCATGTTGTGAGGGTCTCCAGGACTGCTCCCAAAGACTTCCCCATGGACACCCTCCCTTGCCTGGAACTGCTCCCTCAGCCATTCTCCTGTGTAATGCTCTGCCCTGAACAGGCTTTTAAGTGACATCACTGACCTTCAAAAATTAGGTGCTTGAGGCTGTGCAGGGGTCATGAGCTGAATCATGTCAAAGCCAGGCCTGACAATCAGGCTGAGAGGGGATCCGGGCACGTTAAGAAAGGCATGTGTACCACTAGAAGGAGCGGACGGATCACAGCCATGTGGGAAAGGGGGACTGGGGTAAACACACATCCTGATTTTTATGAGAAAAGTGAAAAATCCAGGTTTTTAGCTGAAACCCTAAGATTTTGGAAATTAATTCAAAAATTTTGAAACCCTGGACACGTCAAACAGGACACATCAATGGGCCATGCTAGGTATGGTCCCGGTGAGCAGAGGATTGACTTCTGGAGGCTTAGAGTGAGCAGGGGACAGGAAGGTAGGGCAGAGTTCCAGATCCTACAGCTTCTTGGGAAGTGTGGCTCTGAGCAAGTTGGCCTCCGGCCCGCTGTAACCCCTCTGCCAGGCACCAAGAAACACAGCTCAGGGCCAACCACTGAAATGGCCATGACACGTCTGCTGATGCAAGCAGACCCCACCACCACCAATGGCCTCTGTGGAGTTACTGACCAGTGTTGGGGGTTCCAGAAACCCCCTCTCCAGACATCACAGATGCCAGCCTCCCCCAAGTGCTTTGCTGAGGCCATGACTGGAAAAAGGGCCTGTGAGTCGGTCTGTGCTCAGCTTTGGAAAGAAGTGTCCATTTGGACTCCACACCCCTACCTGGGGTCTTAGATCTCCCACCTCCAAAATGGGAAGAGAAACTCTAGCCCTACTACAGTGTGTGGTTGACCAAACTTTCACTGGTTTCCAAGGGGGGAAAAAAGACAACACAATGAGGTGGGGGCGAGGGGTTTTTTGTTTTGTTTTTTTTTTAACTAATGCTAAATTATGTTTTTCCTTCTTTTGGTTTCTTTAAACAGTAAGGGACTGCAATTTTCTAATATTTTTTCTTTTTTTATATCCTTATTTAGCAAACTTAAAAGTTGATGATGCTGTGTTGCTTTCCCAGACTTTTATTTGAAATGTGACTGCTTTGTAAAACTCCAGAGTCAAGAACTCACAGGCAGGAGGCTGTCTTCAATGAACAGGAAAGGATGAGAAATCTTCACTCCCCTCCTTCCTGCCTCCCTCGATCGCTCATTCCCTCTTCCATTCATTAACCACCCACTATGTGCCACGACCTAAGGAAGCAGCTAAGAAGTCCCTGTCTGCAGCGGCTTTGCAGACCAGGAGGAAGGCAACCCACAGAGCCAGGATCCCGATGACCACGAATGACTGCCTCTCTGCCTGGGTACCAGCTAAGATGATTCCAAAAAGCAAGGCCTTGTTGGGAAAGAAAAAAGCAAAGGTCAGCTTGGCTGAACTCACCCAGAATTTTGCCATCAGAAATATCTAGAAAATGGTTATTTTAAAAGCGCAGGGGGATGCCAGGGCTTGGGGTGGGGGTGAGGAGTGATGCTTTCTGTGCTTAGGGCCCCTGAAGGCCTTGGTCCTCCAGCTCAGAAGCCCAGGGGGTCCTGGGCTGCCTCCTCCAGTGCCAGCCCTTGGACCCTGGCAGTTCCTCCGAGGTTGTTGTATTTTAGACCTTCTTCTAAGCCTTGAATGCTCCTCTCTCCCTTCCTCTTTCCCTGATTTGGAGGCTGGGGAAGGGCTCTCTGAAGGGTCTGACCAGATGTGACACCAAAATGAACCCCACTAGGGGCAAGGCAGGGCCCCCATAAGCTTGGAACCAAGCCTGGGTTTGCAGTATAGCAAAATGAGATAGCTGGCATTCACTACAAGCCCTATTCCCCAAAGCTGGCCTTAACCAAGGGCCTCAGGCAAAGCAGGACGATGGGAAGAGAAGTTTTCCAGAAAGCCACTCATGTCTCCCTCATTTCAGACCCTAGTCCTGAGCCAGGGGAGGGAAGTGAGTATGTGCTCCACACACCAGGACCCACCCTAGTTGAAGGACCTTGGGGTCTCACTAGATGTGGCTGTCTTTAAACACCTGTAATTTTACAATAAGGGAGGAGAAGTGGGTTATCCAGGGGCAGATGGCATCTAGAAAAAGATGACAGGGCAGCTAGAAAAAGAACTCAGCCCCAAAACAAGGGGCTCTTACTAAATTCTCCAGCCTCATCCTCTGCTGTGGCATAGCCACTTGCTCTAACATCCATGAAGGTTTTGGGGGTCCCTGGTGGGGCAGGGAGCAGGTGGAGCTCTTTCTGCCTCTCCTACCACCTTAATGCACATCCTCCTCGGGGCAGGGCCACTGAGATTCCACCCCACATGCGCCAAGGCACAGGCAACAGGACTCGGAGTCGCAGGCTGTGGACCCGACCACAGCAGCATTTCCTTGGAGGTGTGGAGCTTGTGAAAAGCACTGGTCCCTGCACCTCACCCCTGACCCACCTTAGCTCATCTCCAGGGGTGGGCCTGATAGCTGCATTTCACATGCTCTCTGGGGGGGATTCTTATGGTCACTGAAGCTAGGTATTTCCCTCAAATGGGGCCCTCTGAGGTCATCTGGGGAAGATGCAAGGCTCTAGGGACTTAGCTGGGGTGTCTACGAAGTCACCTGGGGGCTTGAAACATCTTGAGGCCTGGGCCACACCCTAAACCTGTCACTCAGCATCATCAGAGGTGGAACCCCCACACCAGTATTCTGTGAAATCTCCCCAGGTGATCCAAAGCACTCGGGGGATGAGAATTACTGGTGTGAGCATCCCCTCTGTCTCCCCAACCCACCGCCAGCAGGCTGGCATGCCAAAGTCATGTCTAGAGGGCCTCATGTCTAGGTAGGAATCTGTGCCAGGCTCATGGGCTAAATGTACCAGGATTCTTCTAGTCTGTGGGAGACACTGGAGGGAAGAGGAATCCCATCAGCTGGTCAATTGGAGACGGGGAGTCTCTGCCAGGCTCTGCCATTTCCTCCCCCGGGTCACCGTCTGCTACTGGCAAACGGGTCGCACTCATTCCCCTTCTCATGCTGGAGGCAGATGCTAGGTAAAGGAAGCCTTTTGCAGGGAAATACACAAATCAGGAAAGTCATTTGGGGGTGTGGGCCCCTGAGGAGAGAGGTGGGGTACAAAGGACTGCTGGTTTGGGAGAGGTTAGACTGAACACCAGATCAGAGCCCCACATAAAGATCATGAATGTAGCAAGTGATCAAACTTTTAATGACAGGAAAGGTGTCCTGAGCACAGCTTTTAGAAGTTAATAAAGTGTGTGGTTGAAACATCTGTCTTTGCTCTGTAAAACGCAGCCCTGCACACATCTGAAGAAGGGGTGCATGTGGGGGGCTGGGTGCAGCTGGTCTGAGGAGGCCAAGGCAGGGGCCAGGAGGGCGGGTGCTGGGGTGTGACTGGATGAGGGGCAAGGCTGCCTTGGGGCCTTTTGGGTGTGCAGTGACCAGGTGTCTGCTATGTGACAGGTAACACCATCTTTAACGAGGAGGCAGGGGTGCTAGGTGGAGGGCGTTCACAGCCTGCTGGCACTGAGCACCTCTCAAGGGCCCCCTTTCATTCCCGAGAGCACTGACAGGCCTCACAGAAGCCAGGTTATTAGTGCTGGCATCTGACAGACACACCAAGGTGCAGGCAGCCTTCTCCTCCTCCTGCCACACTACTGGGCTGCCCTCCCTCTAGCCCAGTAATGATTTGAGATCTAAACACTGAGAAAACAGCGTTGGGTGAGTGAAAGAAACTGCTCCTAGCTGTTTCCTTTGCCAAAAAGTGTAATTAGCATGGCTGGATGCTAAGTGCAAGAATCCCCCAGGCTTCCGTCCCCCGGGCACTCCTAGGAGATGACAGCAGGCCGATACCTGGGATCTTCACCTGGCTGTCTGCCTTAAACACACCCAGGCCTCGGTACACAGTAACAGATCAGCAGAAATTGGCATTCTCTTGCCACGCGTCTCCCCAGGGGAACCCCCCATGCTCAGAGCTCAGGGGCCCGGGGCAGTGGCAGCTGCTCCTCTGGAATGGCCTTCAGAAGAGTTGCAGGCAGGACCAAACTTCTCACCCACACCAGCCTGCAGGAAAATGTACTCGAAGCCTCACCAGAAAGCACGGTTTCCCCTTCTAGTTTTCCCTCCTCCCTTCCTTCCAACCTTCTTTCCTCTCTTTCTTCTTCCTTCCATTCTTCATTATTTAGTATAACCTATTTATTTATTTATTTGAGACAGAGTCTCACTCTGTCACCCAGGCTGGAGTGCACTGACGCAATCTTGGCTCACTGCAACTTCTGCCTCCCAGGTTCAAGTGGTTCTCGTGCCTGGCCTCCCAAGTAGCTGGGATTACAGGTGCACACCACCATATCCAGCTAACTTTTTGTATTTTGAGTAGAGAGAGGGATTTCACCATATTGCCCAGGCTGGTCTCGAACTCCTGACCTCAGGTGATCCACCCACCTTGGCCTCCCAGAATGCTGGCATTATAGGCATGAGGCACCACACCCAGCCAGTTAACCTCTTTTAGAGGTTATGTACAATCGCATCAAAATTGAAACCACACTTGCTCTTGAACTCCACGGTTCCAAGTGGACACTTTCTGTCTCCTGCACTCTTGCCCCTCAGCACAGGGACAGCCATGTGCAAGAACTTTCCGCACTGAGCCTGGGATGACAGGTGACCCTTATGACCACCAAGAGGGGACGGGGCAAGCTGGTGACAGCACCTCTAGTCACAGAAGGCTGAGCAGCTGCTAGAAGGGGGCAGAGCTCTATGACCTAGGGAGGGAGATCTCCAAATATATTCAGTTACTGAAAAAAACGGCATAAGTATGAACACTATGCTCCTTGTGTGAAAATAAAAGGGTGGGTGGGAAGAGGATTAAGCAGTAACTGCAGGGTTTTTTTTCTCCCCCTTAAAAATAGATCTGAAATAAATATTGTGAAATGTCAGCATTTGTAAATTCTGGGAGGTGAGTTCACAGTTACTGTTACACAATTGCCTGTTTCAAACTTTGTGTTTAAAATATTTTAAAAATTAACAAAATGCATATGGGAGATATATAAATGTATTTATTCTGGTAAAGAACAGCTAACACTTTCATAGTTCTCACACAGGCCAGGCACTGCCATGAGCCCCGCCTTTCTAAAGGAGAAACTGAGGCACAGTATTTCACTTGAAGCACAGAGCTACAAAAAGGGAGACAGCATTTGAACCCAGCAAGCTGGCGCCAGAGTCTGTGCTCACAACCCCCGCACTACACTGAGGCCCTAGACCACACCCAGAAAGCTGGCATCAGGGATGCTGGCAGGCCTGGGATGGAGGGAATTTTACTTTTGACTGTACACCTGTGTACTATTTGAATCTTTTACATGTGCACATTACTTTTTTTTAAATAATGTTTTTAAAATTGGGCAAGTCCCAGTTTCCAAGAAGTAACAGAATCCTGACAGGTGTGAAGCTCAGGGAGGCAGAGGAACTGTTCTAAAACCAGTAGTCCCAACTCCCAGCTGGCCTCCAGGGTTGCAGCAATTCAGAGCCTGGAACACCATTACTTCCTGTCTGCTCTGCACCTGTTCCCTCCTGTCTTCCAGTACAGACCCCACCCTCTTGTGGTAGGTTGGCCATGTGACCCCAGCGGTCACATGATTGGATCAGCTATGGGTACCAGAGCTAAGCCCAGCCAATCAGAATCCTGCCCTGGAATTTACACTAATGTAAGCACCTTTTCCTTATGGTTAGGGGACCCAGAATGCCAGAAGCCAGGGTTCCCTGACCAAGCATGTAATTGGGCACAAGTATCAATCCAGGGGACAAGAGGGAGGTACGAGAACCTGTCTCAGCTGCATTCACATCCTGGGCCCTGTCATCTCAAAGCCAGCTCCCTCCCTGCCTCCCAACTTGGTTTTGTTCACTTTGGACTGAGCTGAGTTCTCACTGAACAGAAACTCACAACCCAAAAGAAGCACATGGCCATGATTAAGCCCTGCACCAATGGCGAGTGGGAGACCAGAATCCAGCTCTGCCCGCTGTGTGGTCTCAAGGGAGTTACAAGCTTCTAAGCCTCAGACATGCTCCGTGAGCCGCCACCAAGCTGCTTCATGGGGCTGTCCTAAGGATTAATGTATTAATCCAATCCCAGGCACATCAGTCATTAATAAAATTAATAATATGGTGACAACTAAGCCCACTGCCTTTGGAAGTAACTCCTTACTAACTACATTAAACCCAAACTCGAAGCCCTGGAAAAGAGGATCCCAGCTGCGAGAAAAAACAGCAGAAAGAAAGGCAGCTGGAGTTGCTTCTCCCTTTTGTGTCCCTCTAGATTCACTCTCCGCTCTCCTCTCTGACCTGGGAACATGCCCATGTGAGCCATATCAACAAGCCCCCTTGGCCCAGTGGCTTCTAGCAGCCTCAGCCACTGGATTGAGAGGAGGCAGGAAAGTGGCTCAGAATGTTAATTTCCCTGGAGGGTCCCATGACTGGCTGCATCCTTTGAGCAAAGGTCACAGCTCTCAGGTGCCCCTCTCACTCCTCCAGCATTCCTGTCTGCTAAAGATAACTCCTTCCCCACTCAGGCCCAGGGGTGGGAGTAGCGCCCCACACTGTAGCTTCAGGGTTCTGCACTCTCACGGGAGGCTTAGCCACACTTTGTAAATATTGCCTTTATTAAAAACTCTGCTCAAATTATCCAATTTGAGTGTGTGATCTGCTTTTCTCTGAGACCCTGGCTAGCTGACTGTTTCTTTCTCAGGTTTCTCCAGGCTCTGGCTAGACAAAATCCTTCTCTGCAGAGGACGCTGCTCCAGAGTCTCAACTCAGGCCACAGTCCCCCTTTCCCTCCAAGCTTCTGTACCCCAGCAGTTCTCTCCAAAATCCGTCAGACCCTGCAACCCGAGAATGGACCTCTGATGAAAGCATCTGAGAGCCCTCCAGTCCCAAAAGGAGACAAGCAGGGTCACATCTGAGCTCCAGAAGTGTCCAGAGAAGCAAACCACTGATTTCTACACACCAGAAAAGATACCTGAGAGTACATATTTATAGAAAGATACATAGAAATGGACAGATGGCATCTATCTATAGATACAGAAAGCTCTGTTAGAGAACCGTGGAGGTACATATATATCTGCCACATCCTCCACCACAACCAACAGCACACAATTGCCTGGATCTTGGAAAACCACACTTGTTTAAGTGGTTGGTTTCCTCCCTAGCAGTTTCCAAAATGAGAAGGATGGTCTCAGCGATAGTCCTTAAATATGTGCATGTGTATCGCTCTAAAAAAGAGAGGAGGAGGAGGAGAAGGAGGAGGAGGAGGAGGACGACGGGGGGGGGGGAGGAGGAGGAGGAGGAGGAGGAAGAGAAGTGGATTTTCATGTTGTGCATGGCAAAAGAGATGGGACTGCTTTGGGGGTAAGGGCTTGATTTCACTGGAAAAGCATGAAAGACAACTCCAGAAAAGACAGCTAAGGTTTCTAGGTTGGGACATAAAAACACAACAGCAAGAAGTTCTCGCTCTGCAGTCCACTGAAATCCCTTGTAGCACATTACAATCAGTTAAGGGCAAAATAAAATCAGGATAATACTGAGAGGTAGCAGCTGTTTATCTTCTCGGAGATTTCGAGGGTCTCTGGAAGCTGGGCCAGGGAAGGGGACTCTCCTGGAAGAGGCTGGGGTAGGGCAGAGTTGGGGCTGAGGGCTCCCTGGCTCTGGGAAGGGTATGGGCTGATCCGCACAGACGACGCTGCAGCTCCTGAGCCTTGAGGGAGCCTCTGCCCATTACAGGCCACTCCAAACCAGAGTCATTTCCTGGGCTAGTTATGCAGTCCCCACAACATATAAATAAAAGTTTAGTTCTGTGTTTCCATAGATCTTCTACATGAAGGCTAGCTAAATATTAGTGGAGTAACAATAATTATTAATAACAATAATCGTCATAATAACAATAATTAATAGAATAATAATGCCTTGGGGTGTTGGGGGCAGGGTCCTTCATATGGCGGGGTGGGGCCCTGGGGAGGCGCTCTATGTCTGGTAGAAGTGGTGGTAATGGTGGTGGTGTTCGTGGTGGTGGTGGTGCTCATGTCTCTGGACTGGCTGCCCAGCCTGGCTCTCGTACACCACCACGGCAGGCAGCTCCCGAAGGTGCTCCCGCCCCAGGACCGGGCCGCCTGGGGCCAGCGGTGCCTGCAGGCCCCGGCAGCCCTGCTGGCTTTCCTTGGCTCGGTGCTTGTGCTTCTTGTGCCCGAGGGGAGCCAGGGAGGGGAGGAGGGCTGGGCTGGTGGCCAGGTGGGCGGAGGGGGACACCGCAGGGACGGCGGGTCCCAGAGGTGGTTTGTTTCTTGCCCCTCTGGCCACGTGGCCCACACTCACGCTCTTGCCCTGGGCCTTGGGGGACCTCACAAAGTGCTTGCTCCCGTCCTGGGTGGCCCGGAGCCGTTGCTGGAGCTCCGAGACCTTGGCGATTGGGGTGTCAAGGAAGTGGAAGGAGCCTGGGTCCGCGCCTTGGGGCTTTCGGTGTGGGACGTGGATGGCTTCCGGCTCATGGGAGCGAGATCGAGTGGGGTTGGAGGTGCGGGGGGGCAGTTCTGACTTCTGGGCCACAGAAGGGGAGCCTAGGAACCAATTCAACAGACATTTAATGAGCACCTACTGTGTGCTGGGGTCTTGTGCTGTACCCCAAACATCACCCCCACCCCCAGTTCTCCAAGACTAAAAAATGCAACTATTCTTGATCAGAGCTACCCCCAACATCCTGACTGACCCTCACTGCCTTGCCGGAAAACTCTCTGAAATGGAACTTTCCCATCTGCTAACGGGGAAGAACCGGTTCTTCGGTAGGTCTTCAAAAATACTCTTCGAGAGAGAGCCGAGAAAGAGAGATGGCAGCAGAGACCCTGAAAACTGTCTACGGTCACTGGGGTAAGAAAGAACTCTTAAGTATATTGCTAAAAACATACAGAAGTAACTCATAGAGGAATTAAACCTAGTAAAGAAAGGGGAGAAGGGAGTTGTGGGAGTGAAATTGAGCAAGAAGTCAACATATGTCAAGGCTGATAAAGACACAGCCACGTTGTACTTAGGGAAACCTAGGTTCTTGCTGAAAGAAACAGGCAGGAGAGGTCCAAGTAGCTGCCTGGGGAACAGAGCTTGGGTGGGCAGGGATGGGGCACAGAACTGTTGTTTGTCACGGGTGCTAAGCCCTTTGATACTATTTGATTTTGTTCAATTTTGTGAATGTTAAGTTTGAAACCATTTTTAACGTCGCTTTCTCTAAGAAGAGCCTTTGACCTGTCCCGTAATGCTGTCTTCCCCAAGCCTGGGGTAGCAGTGAATACCACCTGCATGGCCCATCCAGCCACGCCCTGCCCTCATCTCTCATCGAAGGGTGCTCGAGTCCCTTACCAGGCCCAAACTGGGAGGTGTAGTTTTCTATCCCGGCGAGATCTAAGTAGTGGTTTCTCCTCTCAATGTTCTCATCCACGCAATGGTGGTAGCAGCCAGACTGCTCCAGGCGGCTGTCACCCTGGAACCTATGGCAGGGAAGGCAGGTGAGTGGGGTGACATTGAACACCAGGTGAGGGCAGCTGCAAAGGCTGCTGGGAAGCCCCCAGAACAAACTGTGGGCCCTTTATTCATTTTCTTCTTGGCCTTGGGAGAGGGTGGGGAGGAACAGTCCTCCCTGCGAACTGTGCCTTCATGTCCTTCCCTGCCGATGGAGAGACAGACCACAGCCCATGACCCGACTTCCTTGCAGTTTCTGGGAGGAGTGGACAGGGGTTGGCTTTAAACAAGTTCAAAGCAAATGTGAGAGGTTATTGGTCAACTTCTAAGAATCCCTCAGTGCCAGGCTTCAAGCCATATGTGCCTGCTACAGGTAGGTGGCCTAAACCCTGGCCTGGTTCCCCAGGGGGTACAGGCAGCAGAAGTCCCTCACACTGTTGGAGCTGGGCCTGGCAGACCCCATGACCTACCCTACAGCCCAGGATGGGACTCTCAAGTGTGTGTGTGTGTGTGTGTGTGCATGCGCGCACGTGTGCACACGCATGTGTGTGTGACTAATACTGTGTGTATGGAGGGGTGGGGAGAGATGCTGCCAGAGGCTCTCTTTTGTTCCCTGCAGGGCTTGGGGCTCCCCAGCCCTCTCCTCCAAGGACCTCTGTGAGCTGCTCCCATCCTGGTTCCTTCCCACACACCACAGCACCACCTTCCCCCAGGATCTCCAGCCAGCCTGGGTCCCTCTGATTCTCAGCCCTGTCCCCACACCTGGCTGTGACCCTGCTTGAACTATGTTTTTTCTTTCCCCTAAGAGAGTACCAATCCCGCTCCAGTCATTCCCTTACCCTTTGCACCCTAGAGGCTAACACAGCTTCATGCCTGCCGTGTTACTGTTGTTTACTCAATGCCTTTCTTTAATGATCTCTTTCCTTTCCTCCCTTCCTCCCTTGCCCGTAGAAGAAATACCAGGTGAAAGGTAACTGCAGCCTAATCATTCCTTCTCCACAATTCTGAAATCCAAAAAGCCTGAAAACTAAGATTTTTCATAACCCACGTGGAAGCCAAGCCCACCCTCAAGGGATGGGAAGGTGTTTAAGGTCTTTATCTCACTTAGTGTGAATATCCAATCATCTCCCAGCAGAAACAGCAATGCATCAGAGCCCATGCACCGCTGGGAGCCCTGCCAAAGCCCAGCAAATGCTGGACTCCAGTCCTGTCTGTCCAAGGTGTGTTGCATAAAAGGATGTAGTTATTTGTTAAGATTTTTGTTTGATTTATGACTCTGTGCATCAAAAGTGTTGGCTCCCTGAAGAGAATACAGACCAGAGCCAAACTTCCTGCTCTGAGTCCTCCATATCCAGGTACACAGCCGGTGCTCAACATATGCTCATGTGCACCATGCCCACGTACCTAAGTGGGGCTCGCTGCTCATGTGCACCATGTGCACCATGCCCACGTACCTAAGTGGGGCTCGCTGCTTCTTCTCCCAGCTCCGCAGCTCCTCAGCCGGCTTGGTCTCTGCTCGGGGCCTCGTGCTCTGCAGGTCTGAGTCCGGCCGAGAAGCACAACAGACACCAGGTGAGCTGCCTGCTCCCACCCTGCCCAGGGGCCACCTGGTGTGCAGCTGCTTTGCAAGGCCACTGTGAGAGGGTTCCCTGAGCTGGGGCTAAAGGGCTCTCATAGCTATCTGCCCTGGGCATGTCCCCATCTAGCCTCACCTCCACCCCAGACTCCCTCTCCAGCCTCACCTCCTCCCCAGACTCCCCCTCTATCCTCACCTCTTCCACCTCCATCCTCAACTCCTCCCCCTCCAGCCTTACCTCCTCCAGGCTGGCCTCAAGCCTTGCAGACGCCATGCTGCCCACAACACCAGCCTTTGCTCGAGCTGCATGACTCTGCCTATGCAAGGCCTCTCACCTGGAATCCCTTCCCTCCTCTTCCCACCCTTCCTCCTATCAGTTCAAGGACCCTTTGAACCTCACCTGTTCACAAAGCAGCTGCCCCAGAAAGCCCACAGGGAGGGAGCTGGCCCTTCCAGGCAGGGGCTGGTCCTTCCTGAGATATGGGAGGACCTTGTTTCCCAGGCTCAGCCCTGCAGCCCCTCACCGGCCTGATTGACAAGGACGCTCCTCTTGCTCTGGCTGCCATCGGGGCCCACTGTGAGCTTCACCCGCAGCATCTTGCTCGATGTCGGGGAGTGGTTGACGGAGGAATCCACCACCTCATAGATGGTGTGCAGCAAGCTGGTGATGTCCTGAATGGGAAGGAAGCAGAAACCCATGCGGGGTTGCCGTCACAGGGCCTTGAAAACAGAAATCAGAGGGCCTGGTGGACGCTGCAAGCCTGAATCCCTCTGGCTGCCCCATAGCAGAGCCTAAGGCAAAAACCTGGATGTCTGAGGTTCATTTGGGAGGAGATCCTAGGAAGCAGGAGTGAGGGAGCAGGGAGAGAGAAGAGGAAAAACCCACAAGAGAAAAGAAAAAGAGCAGGTTACAGCCAGGGGCAACCGGGGCTCAGTCACACTGGGGCCCTTGAGGGAGAGTGTAGAGCCCACCTGGGAAAAGCCTCATTCAGATAGAGGGGGGTGTTTAGAAATGGACTCACGTTCCTCACTGCCTGAGAGCTTCCCAAGGATGCTACATTCCCTGTACTTTGGATTTTTGTTTGAGATACGTTCTCACTCTGTCACCCAGGTGGGAATGCAGGGGTGTGATCATGGCTCACTGCAGCCTCAAACTCCCGGTCTCAAGCGATTCTTCTGTCTCAGTCTCCCTAAGTGCTGGGATTACAGGCATGAGCCATGAGCCACTGTGCCCCACCCTCCCTTGTGCTTTTGGGCTCCCCTGCAAGGGCCAAGCCAGCTCCCTGTACCTGAGAAGGCTCTTACAGTGGGCACCATCTACCATGGCAGCAGGTAAACTTCCAGGTAGGCCCAGGGAAAACTGGGTGGGGACATCAACAGCATGGCTTCGGGTTTGAAATGAAAAATGGACAGGGAGGCGTGTCCCTGCTATGGGTTGAACTGTGGCTCCCCATTCACCTGCAAGTCCTAGTTAGGTTGAAGCCCTAACCCCGACTGTGACTGTATTTGGAGGAAGGAAATAATTAAGGTTAAACGAGGTCATGAAGGTGGGATCATGATAGGATCAGGGCCCTTAGAAGAAGAGGAGAGGCTAGGGATATGGCTCACACCTGGAATCCCAGCACTTTGGGAGGCCAAGGTGGGAGGATCACTTCAGCCCAGAAGTTCAAGACCAGCCTGGGTAACATAACATTCTCTACAAAAAATTTTTAAAAATAGCCATGTGTGGTGGTGCACACCTGTAGTCCCAGCTACTTGGGAGGCTGAGGTGGGAGAATCACTTCAGCTTAGGAGTTTGAGGCTGCAGTGAGCCGTGAGAGTACCACTGCACTCCAGCCTGGGCAACAGTGCAAGATCCCATCTCTTGTAAAAAAAAAAAAAAAAAAAATAGGAAGAGACACCAGAAGAGGTCTCTCTCTCTCTACCACATGAGGACACAGTGAGAAGGTGGCCATCTGCAAGCCAGGAAGCGAGTCCTCACCAGGAACTGTAGCAGGTGGCACCCTGGACTTCCGGCCTTCAGAACTGTGAAGAACAAATTTCTGCTCTCTAAGCCACCCAGTCTCTGGTGTTTTGTTATGGCAACTTGTGCTGGCTGAGACCGTCCCTGTAAGATAAACTAATCTGTGAGAACTTGACTAACTCTTATCTCCTCTCTGAGCCTCAAGCACCCCTCAACCAGAACAGGGGTGTCTACACAATGTTCCCTGGGTATCCCACAGCCCTTCTGATTGGGGCTGGAGGGCACAGATTCCCCTCACTAGGCCCTTTCTGTCTGGGTACCTGCTGAGGTCACTTGTCTGGTGGGGGTGAGGGGGTAACGTCCTGCTTTAAATGGCATTGGAAACCTCTGGAGAAGACATTGTTTCTCTGCTGATCAGGCCCATCCGTGGTTAGTTGCCTGCCCGGCCATCCTCCACCCCCTGCCTATAAGTCCCGCAGGCTGAAGTGGCTGAGGCAACCCCAGCGCAGCCCCAGCCAGGCAGGTGTGTGGGTGGGTGGCCCAGCATGGTAGGGGCTACCGGCCCTGTCCTGGGAGGCGCAGCCACACAGCTCAGCTGACCTGCCCTTTGACAATGCAGGTGGGAAGAGGGAGTCACACAGAAAAGCTAGAAATCCAGGATTTTCTGGTACATCTTCAGAATCACTGATATTGGCAACTGATGTTTAACAAAACCCTTTGGAGGACCAGAGCAGAACATCTGGGGGTCAGACTGGAATTGTGGGAGCCACATGTTTGAGACCCAGGTTCCAAGCCCTCCCTATCTGGCTTGCTCAGTGATCCCACCTCTTCCTGCGAGGCCCGCAGAGGGCTCTCCTTCTTCCTCTTTTCCTTCCCTCTGGCTTCTCCATAAGGCCCTGTTTGCTCACTCTCTCTATCTTGGGCAGCCTATGACGGAGGCTTCATTATACAGATGAGGCGGCTGAGGGTCACTCACTTCATCCCCCAGACTTCTGATACCTTAAAGGACCTGGGGCCCTGGTGTGTGATCAGGGCTGGGGGTCCCAGCAGACTGAGGGTCTCGGACCCTATATGCTTTGGCAATTCTAGGTTAAAAATCAACCCCACTGACTATACAGGGCCAGACGCCCAGAAATCGGTGTGCTCAGTATTTCCTGCATGAATGAACGCCTGAAGGAGGAGCAGGTACTTCTTACTGAGTGGAAAGCTGGCCCACACCCCGGCTCTGGGCTGCAGATGCAGTGAGGTGGGAGCCCATCTGCCCTGGCACTCAGAAGGCGTAGAAAGGAACCGTATTTACAGCCAGATTTGAGGAATGGCACTAGGGCTAAAAATGGACCACGGAAACAGCAAGCCGGTCCTCCCTCCACTCAAAACCACCCCCTGGCTCCTCGGCAGGAGGAAGACATGAGCCAGTGAATGCTTTCCCCAGGGCCAGGCCTCCCTCTCATTCCCAAGGCAGTAAAGGAGGGTGCAGGTTGAAGCTGTCACCAATCGTCTTGCTGCTGCCAAGGGGAGTGTCGGCCTCACAAGAAGGGAAATAGAGCTGAGGAAATAGAGCCGTGATGGACACCTAGTCCTGAGGCCACTGAGCCTCTGGGGCAAGCCATGCCTGAAGTCAGACCCCAAACCAATTTCAGTTACACGAGCCCATCTATTCCTTTATTTATTTTTTTTTTTTGATACAGCAGTTGTAGTATGTATTCTGTCACTTATATGTCAAAGAGTCCTGAGTACTTAAAAGTCACAACTTCCTCCTCCAACCTGTTGGAACAGCCCCTAAACCACAGCCTGAGGAGGAGGTGACCTTGTTAACCCAGAACTCCCATCTGGCAGCATAAAGGTGAATTTCCCCTGCACTATCACAGAGAAGAAAACACTCCTCAGGGACCCGGGATAAGAAGAGCAGGCGACAAAGCTTCAAGGCTTTCTGGAAACAGGAGGCGTGCTGGACAAGAAGCAGGCGGAGCCCAGGCATGTCAACCTGGGCCGCTGCGCAGAAGCACGCAACCTCAGACCTGTAACAGGTCCCACACCTGCAGATGGGGGCCTCTCGGGGAGGGAGAAGTCGTCAGAGAGGGACAGGGAGAAAAAGGGATGAGGAAGCAGAAGGAAGGACACCAACCCTCCAGCAGTGTGCCCTCAGGACCTGAAATCAAATCCAGGTTGTCTGCCAGAAGACTGGCCCTGCCGGGTCCCCAGTCACAGCTATGTCTCTCCTGCCGATCAGCCACCACAGCTGTCTCCTTCAGTTCCTTCAACATCCTGAGCCCCTGGCCTCTGTCTGTCTAGGAGCCCCCGAGGCTGTGCATGCCGTGTGGCTCAGCTCCCTTGCCGTCTCCTCCAGGAGGCCTCCCCTGGACGATCCAGCCAGTCTCTGTCACAACACCCTGTTTATTTTTTCCACTGGACACATCACCGCTTAGTTATCGTCCAGCTGTTTGGATCTGCCTTTTGTCAGAATGTCAACGCTCCAGGGCGAGGAACGTGTCTGTGTAGTTCCTTGTGCCCAGTACCGAGGACCCTACAGATGCCCACACTCATGCTCAATGTGCAAAGACACAGGCAGGAAGGAGACAGCTGCAGGAGGAGGGCCCTGAAGAGAGAGCGGCCTGCGGAGGGACGAGGAAGAAGAGGTTTGGGGTGAGGCCATGGCCAGAGCTGTGACTGCAGAGCTGCTGGCAGGCCCGTAGCACTGGTGGTGCTCATTCCTGTAGCCTAAAGCGAGGTGCGGCGTGGCCTCTGTGTGCACCCACCGCCAAGCTCCTGGGCAGCATGGCTGAGTGAGGAAGGTGGCCTGTGGTGGTCCCAGTGCCACCCCCCACCAAACTCTGGGACTGTGGAGAGAAAGAAGCAGGACAGGACTCAGTTGAGGCCTGGGGTCCTTCTCCCAGGAGGCCCTGGGGCTCTGTACCTGTCTCCACTCCTTCCCTAGGAGGAGCAGTGCCTAAGCCAAGGGCAGGGAAGCTGCCCTCCCTGCTTGTCGTCTTTCCCCACTTTCAAGCAGCTCTGGGATACCCCTCCAGATCTCATGGGTGCTCCCAGCAACTCCCCGGCTGTTACCACCTCCCCTGAGGGGCAGGACCAATGCAGGGGTGAGAAGAGGCAGGGGCAGGGAGCTGTGCCCAGGCCCTGTGCCCACAGGAATGATACACGGCAAGAGGCCAGGCAGGTGCACTCACCTCTCGGGTGACCTTGCCATTGTTGTCAAAGTCATACAGGGTGAAGGTCCACTCCTGCCGGCTGTCCTCCTCCACGGACACGTCACACTGGAGCTCCTGGATGCAGAGAGATGGGCAGGGCTGGTCCCCTATCTGTGGCAATGCTGACTGGGTGGTGAAGGCATGAGCCCAGAGGCCAGGCCAAGGGGCAGCCACCTGCCCTCTGCTCTCCCCAGACCTGGAGTGGACAGGGAGTACCTCGGCCAAGACGGAACTGGCCCAGGAAGGCAGCCAGGGCTGGGCAGAGGCAGTTTGGCCTGGGGAGGGACGCCTGCAGGGGTACCTGGCAGTCTGTGGGTCTTCAAAGACAAAGGAAACACAGGGCAGTCTGAGAAGAGGCTCTGTGGACTCAGAAAAGCTGAATTTCGAGCAAGGGCAAGAAACAACTAGAAGGCAAAGGAATGGCACTTGGGAGCCCCAGCAGGACCTCATGCACGAGTATGAGGGGCTCAGACGTCGGTCAGGCCCGGCCCCAGCTCCTGCAAGGCCCTCTATGGCTGTGTGACCCTGGCCATGTCACTGGCCTCCACTGTGCCTCAGTTTCTCCTGGTATAAATTATGGAATACGATGGCCTCTCTCCCATAAGGTTGCTGGGAAGATGACATGCCCCCGCAACACACCCTCAGCCCGGCTGTTTCCCTACAGCTGTGGTGGGGATGGTGCCTGACCTCCCACCTCATGTGTGCTTTTCTGTCTCAGGGCAGCCCTGAAGAGTCCCAGAAGGAATGCCCAGAGGAGAGCGAACAAGGGAGGGACAGGAGGCAGTGGGAATGCCAGACCTCCTCACCCCTCCGTGGGACAAATCTGAGCTCATGCTTACATGGCTCCTAGGAGGCTCTCCAGCCAGCAGAGCCCACGAGTGAACCCAGCCTTTGCTGGCTTCCCTCTTTCCTCGTACCTGCACCCCAGGACTGCCTCCCCTATATACTGCCTGCTCCCAGGGCCGTGTGGCCGGGTCTGCTTAGGAGAACTGGAAACAGGAAGTGGAGTATACATGCTGGGGTCATTTACACCTGTGCTTGGAGCACTGCCTGGCACATAGAAAAGCTCAATCCATGGTAATAGCTGTTAATTCTGCTGTAATGATAAACAGTCATTGAAATAATTATTTCAATCAATAATCAATGAAACAATCATTTCATTAGTATTATTTTCAGCAAGCTGAAGTGTCTGACCCCAGGGCATGTGAGCTGGGAAAGGGTGAGCTCATCGCCGGAGGGCTGAGTGTCAGATGGACAGTTCCAGGGAGCATGCTGTTCAGCAGGAAAAGGTTCCATGAATGGCCTTTCAGATCCACAAGATTCTATGGAAACAAGACCATCCTGCTCCATGGCTTGCCAAACTCCAGCTCTCCTTCCACCATCAGGAAGGTGGCACCGGCCTGGCCTGGCAGGAGGAAGAAGAGGGAAGGCACCTGCCTGTGGATGCTAGGGAAGTGAGCCCCAGCACGGTGTCCTGGTCCCAGCTGCAGCAGCTCCAAGCTGTTTCCCTCCAGCAATTCTTGGGCTTCCATGCTGAGTTCAAAGCCAAGTTTGCCTAGGCCACACCCATCTGATACCTGCCAAGGGCCCTCGCTGCTCTCTGAGGCACTGTTTCATGTGGCATGACACACACGCCTACATACACATCCCTACACACACACACACACACCTACCCAGGCACACCCCTATACGTGCACACCCTACACATACATGCCTGTAACACACATACACACACACACACACACACAGCATTTGGCTGTTTCCAAGACACTATGGGTCTGAGCGTCAGAAACATGAGTTGAGTAACTATGGCCACCTGCCCCACCTGTCAGATGCGAGTCTCCTAGGCCTCCCCGAACCACACGGGGCTTCTCAGGCGAGTCCTGCCTGTGGCCCACAGCCCCTGCCCCTCCAGACGCAAGCGCACTTGGGCTTCCAGGGAGGCAGGATGCCTGGGCCTGGGCTTCCTTCTGCCACTGAGTGCGGCCCTGGGCTTTGCCAAGCCCCCAGAATACTCTACAAGGACCCGAGTGGGCTCAGGGCAGGACTGGGCTCCAGGAAGAAGCTGGGAGCCCTAACTCCTCCTGCCTGTCCTCCCCAGGCAAGGCTTCAAGCCTCCTGGAGGCTGGAGTGCCTGCATGCTGTGTGGGGAGAACACGCTGCAAGGCGTGGTCTGTGTAGGATGATGGGGCATGGTGGGGAGACGACACTGGAAAGCGGGTAAGATCAGTCACCAGGGTCCCTGCACACAGGGCGTCTCCCTCATGCCCCACCGCCCCTCACAGGCCACACCATGCCGCTCATTGTCCCCACACAGCACGCCGGGACTTCAGCCCCAGGCCTTCGCTTCTGTAGCCCCCTCTGCCAGAAAGGCCCTTCTCACACCAAAGGCTCCTCTGTGCGCCTCTCTCCCAACCCCTGCCCCTAAGCTCTGAGCCTCACCCACCTCCTCAACCTCCACCCACAGCCTCGGTTCCCTCCTCCAGAAACTACACAGAGCCTGGAGATGCCAAGTGTCCATTATCCCACACCCCTTGGCCTGACCCCACCCCAGGCTCCCGGACCTCATCACATCACCAACTCTGAAGCCATTGGGTCCAGGGCACTCAACTGTCCCCTTGTCACACTGTGCACTCCTTGAGGGCAGGAACCACACCCAGTCTAAGCTGGGTCCCCTGGCAATTAGCCGGTGCTAATCAACATTGGTCAGGAAGAGGAGATGCATGAACTCATGATGCTGACCACAGCCACATCCATCACTACTATCCCCATCTTACAGGCGAGGCACGTGAGGCCATTGAGACTTGAGGGAACTGGCCCCAAAGTCACACAGCTACTAAGCGTACAGCCAGGATTTGGACCCGGGCCTGCTGACTCTAGAGCTATAGCCTGGTGGTCTCAGGAAGGCAGAGGGAAGGAGGGAGGGAGCAAGGAGGGCGGAGCAGTGGGGAGCTCCATGCGGCAGGCCTGGGCCTGGCTCTCAGCACCAGGGACTGTGCTGGATGTGCAGGAGCGTGCTACACTGTCAGGCGGTAGGGAACAGACAGACTGTGAGCTCTGGGAGGCACATCCCTAGTGTGGACCACGTGGGGAAACTGAGGCCCTGTGAGCATCAGGGGCCTTCCTGTGCCTCCTGCTCATCCATCCCACCTGAGAGCCCCCACAGGCACCCCAGAACAGCCTCAAGAGTTGAAAGGGAATGTTTCACCAAAGAAACTGAGGCCCAGAGAGGTGACAGCAGCAGCAGGGCCAGAGTCCTGCCTCCCTTAACCACTCTCATGCCCTCTCCCAGGCTTCTGGCCACACACCGCATGTGGAGGGGCTGGGGCCGGGCTGAGGGGTGGGAAGCAGTAAGCTCCCGGGGTCTGCCCCATGCTGGGAGGGCCCCAGATGTGGCAGGAGGAACATCCCACAGAGGGTGCTGTTCATGCAGGGGAGGGGCCTCCCTGTCTGGAAGAACCCCAGCTTCCCTCCTCCCAAAGCACCAAGCTGAGAAAGCCCGTCTCATCTCCCCAGGACCCAGCACCGAAAAGAAACTTACTTCAAACTTCAGCTGCTTCTTGGAGCCCGGGCAGGGTTCGCTCACTCTCTCCATCTTCTTCTCATCTCCACTGCCCAGCCCGTCGGTCTTCTCAGGAGGCAGGGCCACTGTTGGGGATGCAAGTGAGGGAACATGAGGAGCGGGGTCCAGATGCGGGCCGACCATGCACCTTCATCCTCGGGGCCTGGCCTGGACATTCTCACCAGCAGGGCTGGGCCCGCTCCTGCCCTGCCCATTTGCTGGGGTCAACATCACACTACTCTGGCACCTGGTACTGCCTGAGGCAACCCCCACTACAGGGTGGGATGCTCCCCACACCAGCCTTCGACTTCTACCCTGCGGAGGCACACAGCCACCCAGAGCAGTGTCGGGCCGGAGGACAGATGGATGAGAGTGGAGGAGTGCTTCTGGAGCCCTGAGAGGGAGCTGGAACTTCACGGGCTGCAGTCCCACTCCCTTCTGTGCTGACATTTTGGCCTCCCAAAGGTGCCACCCACCTGGGTACAGGATACACACCTTGGTGGATGGCCAGGAGTGCCAGTAACAGAGTTCAACTGGGTTGGCAAAGGTGTGCACACACATACACATATGCACAAGCACACATGCACACATGCACACATGCACACACATACACATGTATGCACACATGCACACATATGTACTCTCGTGCACCACACCTACTCGCACACATATGCACACTCACACATGCACACACACACACTCACACACACACAAAAGGCATCTCCAGGGAGCACACTCATCCTGAACCTTGCATTTGGCCTCTGGTCACCCCAGGTCCTTCCCTCTCTGCCAAAGGTCACAGTCCTGTGTGTGGCCATCCAGGAGCTATGGGAGGGTGACTGTGAAATCCCAAGACCTACCGACACTATTTTCCTGAGGACAGCAGCTCAGGGTAGCACCATTGTCCTTGACCCAGTACCCAGACTACAAAGTGCCATCACTTCTCGGAAGGGCCCACAAGCCTTTTCTGCCTATTTCATCTCGTCTGATAGAGGGGCTGGGATTTGCCGGGGACATCCTTTCTAGGCCACGCTCACAGCTTCTCTCATCCAATTCCCTTTGTTGCCTGGGGTAGTAAATGTGTTGTCCGGTTTTGAAGGTGAAGAAACAGGCTGGCTTCTACTCCAAGAAGGGACCCTGCCCCCTCCACCCTGACCCAGGTTGGTTGGGGGGGTCATGTGAGGAGCTGAGACTCCCTAGTCAGAGAGAAAGGCAAGACAGGACTTTCTCGGGAAGTCAGCAGCCTGGAGAAATGAGGCCAGGCAACTAGATGAGGGGTGGGGGGGGGTTGTGTCTCTCCGATCCCACAATCCCACCATACTCACCCACCCCAGCTTTACAAGCAAGGGCCCAAGGGCAGTCCCTGGGCCAGGTAGAGTGGGTACGCCCCCAGTGGGCCCAGGCCCCAGCTCTCCTGCCCTGCTTCTGTCCTGTGGGATGGGAGCTCTCTCCTCTGCAGTTAGGTAAGGCACTTCCCCTGGTACTCTTGTGCCTTGGCACTACTGTATGCAAAGATGAGGCAGCAATGACTAAGCCCTTGCTGTTTACCAACTCTGTCCTCATGCAGCCCTGTGAGGCAGATAGCTCCATTTTCCAGATGGGAAAACTGAGGCTCGGAGAGGATAAGTGCCTCACTAGTAAATGACAGAGCTGGGATTTGAACCCAGGTAGCCTGAATCATGCTCACAGTCAATCCACTAGACTGCCTCTCCATGCCTTAATTCAAGAGACTTGGTGCCTCTCTCAGCCTGCCTCTCTCTGTCTAACGGAGGCCAGCCAGCCAGGGCAGTGGTCCTCTCCACCTGGGTTCTATTCTCTGGCACTGTGTGACCCCGGGTGGGTCACATACCTTCTCTAGATGTCTCAATTTTCCCAACTGTAAAGTGAGGACGCTACCAACCCCTCCCCCAGAGGATTCTTGTGTGGATGCAACAAGCTCTGATCAGAAAGGGCTAAGACCCCAGCACACCAGGCCCAGCCAGAGTAGTGACAGTCAGGGGACCGACGGCCCCACCGCACTGACTCTTGGGAACGGGACAGTTAGCAGCTAAGTTTGTCAAAACCGAGGCCTCAGGAATGCAGTAGACACAAAAGAATATCAAATACATACGGCCTGCACGGGCAGTTTTGGACAAGGCCCTTGACTCCTCTGGACCTCAGGCCCCTCATCTGTAAAATGGGAATATGACGGCCTCACCTTCATAGGGCTGTGGGGAGAGGACAATGAGGAGAGTGCTTACTGAGCACAGTGGCCGACACACAGTAAGTGCTTGAGAGATGCTGGCTTTGCCAAAGAAGTAGATGGGCTGTGGTCCCCGCTCATAGCCCAGATCCCAACCATCCCCCTTGACCCCAGACTGCCCCACTGGCAAAACCAGAGAAATATCACCGCCTGCAGCATCCTCTACCCACCCCTCCCAGGCAGGGGGAGAGAAGAAAAAGAAAAAGCAGAAAGAAAAACAAAGCCTAGCTCCATCTTCAAAGCTGCTGCGTCTCTCCGCAGAGGTCCTGGCTGGAGATTCGAGCTGGCCAGGCTTATCGAAACCAAACTTCAAGTTCAAAGGGAAGTTATCAGAAAACCACCTTCAGGTTCAATGTTGCCTTTCATGTTCCACTTGATAAAATCCAAAGAAAAGGAACCTCTGTCCCTGCTCTCTCCTTCTCTGGAGCACTCTTCCCCTGCCATGCACGAACAGCCTGTCTGCCCTCAGGTCCTCCCCTCTTCCTTCCTTTCTCCTCACCTGAGGGGCTGGAAATCATCTCCCTTGACCCTTCATATGTCTTCTCCAAAGACTAGTGTGGCCCGGATTGTCCTCTCTTCACCAGTGGCTCCCTCATCCCGTCCCATCTGAGAAAGACACCTGGACATCCGCAGGTCAGACAGCGGTCAGCGAACCTGCCAGGGGCCCCTCCCAGCATGGGGCCTGCGATCCGTGCTGCCCTGGGGCTGTGGGGGTCAGCACTCTGTATCCCCACCAAAGGAGGTCATTCACCCTCTTACTGTCTCCTGCCCAGTAGGTAGAACAGGTGGCAGAGAACCAGCCACGAAGACTCCAATGCCAGGGGGCAGGGGCCAGGCCTCCTCCACATATGAACTCTCTGAAACCAAACTAAGTCAAGATACCATGGCCCCCAGCGAGCCCTGTGCACAAGAAACCACCCTCCAGCCATCAATGAGTACAGGCTCACTGGAGGCGGGAGATGGGGACGGGGACAGGGACTGGCGCTCACTGCAGGCCGCCCAGGGATTGCAATGACGCTATTTCTGTTGAGACCGGCTTTGGCACCACAGTCTGAGTCCATTCTCTGTCTCTGATTCCTGTTTAGCTCAGCCATTCTTCCCCTTGGGAAATGATCTTTTGGGGGCCTAATTTCAGGAGGTGCTGATCACTCTTCAGTTGAAAGTCTGCGGAACTGCAGGAGACTGCTCATTTAGAAGAAAAAAGGAAAGCAGGAAACCAGGTGGGAAAAAATGACTTTCACTTGCCTAAGGAGCACTTTTGGATGACCGAGAGCAGGAGGTGACAAACTACACTCAGTGAACCAAACCTGGCCCCTGCCTGTTTTTGAAATAAAGTTTTATTGAGACTCGGCCATGCTCATTTGCATTGTCCATGGCTTCTTTCAGTGTATGACAGCAGAGTCGAACTATCGCAACAGAGCCCACAAAACCTAAAATACATACTGTCTGGCCTTTCATGAAAAAGTCTGTGGATTGATTGTGGCTTTAGGTGTGTGCCACCCTCCACATCCACCAGGATATTAGCTTGATGAGCAGGGCACAGACAATTTCACCTATTACTTGCCTACTTGGCTGGAAGCCCTTGTGCAGTACACAACCTGCCCAACCATACAGTGGCCATGGAAGAAAGAAAATATCAGCTCTGCTTTCTTAAAGCCTATTGTCAGTCAATATGAATCTGGGGGGTAGTAGTGGTTTGTGGAGCTCCTTCTCTTTGGAATCTGCTCCCTGTTCCTCCTCACACCACAGCCACGAGGAGTCAATGAGTCGGCTTGCTGTGTTTACCAAATGACGGTTCTCTCCCTATTAGCTCCCAGCCTGGCAGCTCTCCACCCCCAGCAACTGCCAGATTAAATGCATTACTTGACCATCTTCACCCGGCTCCCTTTGATGTTCCCTTCTCAAGCTTCAAAATACCTTTTGGAGGGAGATCAGACAGCATTAAACAGAATTACTAATTAATTAAGCAAAGTTAAATTTTAAACACTGTTTGTTGTGTTAGCCAAAAGCCTGAACAGAACAGACTTTTTTCCTCTGCTGAGATCAAAGTCAGTCTCTTCCCTCGCCCCTCCCCCAGTTTAAAAAAAAAGGGAGGGGTGGGGAGGAAGAGAGAGAAAGAAGAGAGTGAGGAAATACCTGAATGGTGACAACTTTGATCATGGGTCTAGACGCCCCTTCCCGCCTCCCTGTGGGCCCAATGGGAGGCTCCTTGGGGACCGCCTGCTGTGAGAGCCACAGTCACTCGGGACTATTTACCCTGGCAAACGGCAGTGACCTAGAGAGCAGGATGGCACGGCCCACCCAGCCCAAGCTGCTGACAGCTGGCACCACCCAAACAGCATGAGAAGAAGGCCTGTGAAATAAAACAGACCCGCCCTCCTCACAGCTCCACCGGGTGAGCCCCTCAGGGCTCTTCCCCTTGGTCTGGAGTCACTTGGGGTCACTAGGAGACCAGCTCGGAGAAGCAGGCTGTGCACTGTACAACCACAGGGCCACACCCTAGATATGTGTATTGCTTGTGACATCCTTTGAACAGAGGGCAGAAATGTGTCTTCAGGACGGGCAACTTTTTTCTAATTTGCCCAAATGCATCCAGAGCTGGCAAGGTGCTGTCTCCCGCTGTCCAGTCTAGAACTTTATTGTATACAGTCCTATCTGGGACCTTCTGATTGCTTCACAGGAGCCTCTACCTCTGCATTGCCAAAAAGCAAGTTTCATGAGCTCTGGGCCCTCTAGGCTTCTGCTCCCAGGGTACCTGATGCCTAGCATTTCCCATACATGCACAGAGAAGAGATTCCACCAGGTCCGCTGAAATGTCGCACATTCTATGGGTGGGCATAGGAA